ATGTGTCCCGCTGGTGGCTGATTTGCAGTAGGCTTTCCAGGGTGGTTTGTGGTGGTCATCTGGGCCACGTAGAATCAAGACTGACATAACAGTTTGCATGGGAGGAGGGTGAGGCAAGAATTAGTCTTAGAAATTTCTCAGTTTACACAGTTGGTGGCAGATGATGTGACTGGCTACAGGTTAGACACATATTTTCCATGTCATGTTTGCAAATTCAATTTTTTTCCTCTTTCCATTGTTGTGTATGCCCGTGTGTGCATGTACATTTGTGTGTGTGTGTGTGTGTGTGTGTGTGTGTGTGTGTGTGTGTGCCCATGTAGACTAAAGGATAACCTTTTTTTCCTCCATTTTTTATTTAAATTAGAAACAAGATTGTTTTACATGTCAATCCCAGTTCCCTCTCCCTCCCCACCTCCCCTCCTCCCCTGCCCCCAACACCCTACCCATCCCATCCCCTTTCTGCTCCCCAGGGGGTGAGGCCTTCCATGAGGGATCTTTAAAGTCTGTCCTATGCTTTGGGATAGGGCCTAGGCCCTCGCCCGTGTGTCTAGGCTGAGAGAGTATCACTCTATGTGGAATGGGCTCCCAAAGTCCATTCCTATGCTAGGGATAAGACCAAAGGATAACATTGGCTATTGCTTTTTAAGTATCTTCTATCTTTTTTGCCTGGTTTGAAGCCTGGAACTTGCCAAGTGTGCTAGACTGACTGGCCAGAAAGCTCCAGGGACCTGCCTGTTTCCACATCTCCAGAGCTGGGAATGTAAACCTACAACACCACACCCGGTTTTTTATGTGAGTTCTAGGAGTTGAGGTCAGGTCCTCATGTTTGCCTCACAAGTGCCATGTCTCTCTTAGCTCTTCTTGGGTTTTAAAGAGGAATTATAACATGCCTCCAAACTCCCTCATACCTAATGAACCCACCCTGGGTGCCTGGCCCTACTCCCCAGTCTTCATTATGACTTAGCAGGCGGGGCATGTTAGAAGCACTCTGGAAAGGGCTCAGCCTTGAACTTGAAGTGGTTTGTGGGAAATATTTCCATAGTGTGTCTTCATGGGCTTTGCCCTGCATTCATCTCAGAAACAGATGGGATCGATTTGATAGGACATAGGTTGCAAGAGTGGCCATTTGCCACCCACATTGGCTCTAGTGCTGGAGCTGCAGAAGGAACTGCAGGACACAGAGAGGCAGGCTTCAGTGGCCTTGGGCCTTGCCTGGCTATGCATGACTGATCCCCCGGGGAGGGACACTGACTCACTGGTGGAGGGCAGTGGCAATGGATTGCATGCTTTTCTGGCCCACAGAGAACGGTTCTGGGACATTCTCTCTTACTGTGTGCTTTAGGACTTGAGCCTGACAGAGCCTGTTAGGAGGTGTTCTGTATGTTAGTACCAGGGAGAAAGAGCATCACGCCCTGGGCTTAGGATGCCTTGGGACCACGTCTAACAATTGCTGCTCGAGTGGGCGACAGTTGGTGGCTGAAGTGCTGTGTTGTCTGAGTTTTTCCCACACACGTGCTTTACTGTCATTTCAATTAGGAAGTTTATTTATTTTTTCCCATTGATTTTTGCACATTCATGGTAACAGAAATATCCGATAGTTCATTTGGAGATTTTTTTCTTTCTTTTTTTTTGCACATCCATTCCTCCTAGAACATAAAGTGAACTTAAAAAAATTGGAACCATGCTGTTTATTAGCTGTTTATAAAAAGTGAATAAGAAGTAGCTTGTTTTTTTTAAAAGTCTAAAATAAACAAGTGGAGAGAAGCATTTTCTTCTACAATATTCAGCGAACATAAGAAAAAGTCCTTAGAAACACACACAAAAAGTGAAAAAAGTTATTACAGGCATTAACAATATTTTATAATGAAGCTTGAAATCTATTTACATACATAAATACAATTGAGTTTATTGATACAACTTCTTCTGAAGGAGAAAAAAAGACAAATGATCAGCTTTGCCAATACTGACCTGGCAGAAACAGGGAAGGCACCCCGACAAGTAACCGACAAACCAAAACCCCCAATAAATGTATGCTGTAGAGTAAACAAAGGTATTTTGTTCAGATGTGGAAAAAATATATTCTGAGATTGTTGTCAAACCATTTATTTTCTTGTATAAAAGACCCTAAACATCTCATGCCTCCCCCCATAAACAAAATTAAAAGAACCCAAGAAACTATCAAAACCAAAACAAACCCCTAGGGCTGAATGTCCCAGGGAAAATCATATTTCAAGAACGAGATCTGCAATCATCAACTACAGGCTGTTGGAGGGAAACCGTCTGTCCCTTCCAGTCTGAGCATCTCTGATTGTCAGCTGCCCAGGGTGCTCAGGCAGCAGTGATTGTGATTTGCAGAGGTCTCTGCCGCTGGATTTGGACAGCAAGCAGATCCAACATGGCTGGTAACACCTCTGTTCTGTTGGAAGAAACACACGAGCAAGAGAATGGCTGACTCACACTGTTCTTTATGCAAAACGGAGAACCATCTGTGTTCTGAACACTTGGTATGGGGTAGGGTGTGTGTGTGTGTGTGTGTGTGTGTGTATGATGACTCCTTAGGGAGTATGCAGGAGGGAGAAGGTAGAGTTTGGAGGAGAGAGGAGAAAAGAAAGAAGAGCCATGTGAGGACACAGAGGGTGAGAAAAACAGAAGGAACTGAAGGATGTGTTAGAGTCATAAACAGAGGCTTGAATAAGCAGTAGAAATGGCTTATTCCAGTTTTCTCCTCCTGGACCAGTATTCCCAAACAGTGCCACTTATCCCAGAATTGGCTGGTGGGTCTTACCTGAAGACGGTGGGTGAAGAGTCACCTTGATGCACGTGAAGGCAATGAATACAATTTCTCAGGAAGAAAGCGATATGCCATGTGGAATCTATCTCCAAGACAAGGAATGCCTGACTCAAGTTTTTCTCAAATGACTAAATACTGTGTATGCTGATAAGGGTTTGGGAAGCACTGAGCGGCTAGCCAGGCCATCTTCAAAGAAGTGACAAAGTGGCAAGCCTTGATGCCTGGTTTCCAGGGCAAAGATTAGACTGTCCGTTTCCTCGTGTAGGGCTACAGTACCTTTAGGCATAGAATTAATATGAAAAAAATATAAACCTTCTTCCTTTATCTTTCCCTAATATTTTCTTAGTCCAGATATGGCAGCCCATGCTAACAGGAACATCTACTTTTGGAGAAATAAACTAATGATCCTTTTCAGAAATTAACATTTTATTTTCCTGACAACTGATGACAGCTTAGCAGTACAATGTACTGTGTAACAACTGAGGGAAACTGAACGGTGGAGGAAGAGAAGTTATGTCTGCTATGAAAATCTAGCCGAGTTTCTCCAACATCTCCTGTAGCTCTTCTCCTTAGGAACAACCCGAAGGCACAGGCTAATTAATCACCTCCCAAAGTGCTGCTGCTCCGTGTAAAACAAAGAATCAATATATATAGATATATATAGATATAGATATAGATAACTCAAAAACAAGTTGTATTTTTTTTAAATAAGTCCAGCTGTTTTTGCTGCCTGCAGCCAAAGATCTAATCTGAATGCTTAAATTTATAAAATAATAATAAAAAAATCCAACACTGTTCTGAAGTCCTGCTTTCAAACGCTCTTCAGAATTGACCTGACATCATTTCAACTAATTTAAGAGGTACATTAAAAACAACCAGATAATTTCGAGCACACACATAGTCAAAATCAGCAGTTAGGATTTATAAGTTGTGGAACAACTGAATTTTGACCAAGTCCTCCACCATAACCATAGGGCTGTCACACTTACAGTGACCATGGCATACATTTGAACCACAGAGACACAGATCTTTCTTACGATGCTGGCGCACAGATAAAGTGCACAAACCCCAAAGATCAGGGGCTCAGCCTGGTGGAAGCCACTCAAAGGTGCTGGTGAAGAGCAGCTTCCAGTACTTGTTACTTGTCCTGCACTGGTTGACAAGGTATCGCCCACAACTGATCCCACTAAGGTAGATAGTGGGAAACTGGCTCCTTCAGGCTTTCTGGGGTACACTCTTAAAACTCAGCCATTGGGTCTCAAAGGCACCTAGTATTACCCCTTCTATTTGGATCTTTGGGGTGTAGCCACAAGTTTTGGTTTTCATCAATGAACAGGAACTATTAATGGAAGACAAAGGATCTTACTGCTTTGGGGCCCAATAGCCTACCCAGGTGAGCTGTTATATGCATGCCTGAATCAGAAGGCCTCGGGGCAAGCATACCTCCAGGCCGAAATCAAATCCACTTCTCAGATATAAGGCACCTCTCTGAACCCTTTGGGGGAGCAGAGTTTTGCCTGTCTTTTTGAAGGGAAGGAGCCAGGTATAAGGCCCTCCGTTGAGCCTGGCAGAAAATTTTGTACTTCTGGTCCTTGGAGTGACCCCCAGTGTCTAAAATCTGATTGAAAACATTGCTGCATTAGCTACCAACTTGTTTGAATAACATAAAAGGAGTTTAATGTAAACAATATCTCTAGGTAACCGAGCAATCACATAACCCATCCATTGTTTTTTCCAGCCATCTTCAATGCAATAACATTTAACTTTGGCTATTATAAAGAAAAATGTAGTACTTGATATTTTTTTCTTAATATAAGTACATTTAAATAATTAAAAAAGTATCAACACATATGTAAATGTTCAAACATCGAGATACATAAATATCTAGGGATTTCTTTGTGGAAATACAGTAGTAAAAAAATGACCCAAAGCTGTAGTAGCTGTCTCTTAAAAAAACAAAAAAACAAAAAACAAAGAAAAAAAACCCAAAATTAAAAAAAAAAACTCCCAGCTACATTAAAGTCCAAAAGTTAAATAAAACGTCCAGAGAAGGGAACCGCATTTCTTTCAGTTGGTCAAAGAAAGAAAGAAGCAAGCTCGAATCTATACATATTCAAAAATAAGGAACATCCAGATGCAAACACACACTTTTTTTTTTTTTTTTTTTTTTTTTTTTTTTATTTAAACAAAGAGCCAACACACACCAACATTTTTTTTTTTTTTTTTTGCAATTGATAAGGTGCGGAAAAGAAACTCCGAAATAAGAAATAGATGTCAAACAAGATGAGCTATGTCTTCCCCGCCCCGAACCAAAAAACAAACAAACAAATTCCACTCTTTGGAATAAACAACGTGGTTAAAAAGTGAAGTCAAGGGTATAAAATCTTTCTTTTATTCACAGCATTGCTAAATCAGAA